GGGGGCATGAGGGGGAGGGAATAAGGCTGAACGGAGAAAAAACAAGGGAGAAAGGGAGGGAAGGGGGGGGAAGTGTGTTGTTTGGGGGTGAGGGGAGCAGCCATGTTCTGTTCTCCAGGTGTTTTCTTCTCCCTCCCTCCCTCCCTCTCTCCCTCCCTCTCTCCCTCCCTCAGTTCCTCCCCCCTCCCCACCTCCCTCATCGCGGTGACCTTGACTTGGAGGAATGTGCTCCCTGTTCTGTGTCAGGAGAGAACAGAGGGGGGAGAAAGACCCACTTTTCAACCCCACCTACACGTTTTGAGTTTGGTTTCCTTCACTGTCTCTGCATCCCCTGAGACAAACTGACGTTGAGGAATGAAGCTATTTTAGTGTTTGTTGAAGAGTTATGGGATCAGCAGAGGTTGCATGTTATTGGATGTTTGCAGAAGCTCTTGTAATAATATTACCGTCCATCTATAAAAAGCAACAAGAGAAGTTCTCTGCAAGAGCGTTTTCCCCCCCTCTGCATGAAGCATATTAACAAAAATGAAAAAATCTGTGCGTAAGAAATTGGAAAATATATTACTTAAACCGGATAAACATACTTGTTACATGCATACATTTTATAACAAAGCTGTAAACCAGCAGTTTGTGGAAACTTGTTTTAGTTTCACTGTTTCTAACAAGCAGTTTGTTTGGCTGACAGGTTAATTGGAGTTCATTTGTTTATTCTTCTTCTATTAAGTTTCATTTTACTTTTGTTATCTGTGTGATACTTTTGTTACAGGATAATAAATGTATGTTTAGAAACTAATTATTTGTATTCAAAATTATAATCAGATAAGTTTATTTTATTTGAATGTCTTGAATGGCATTTTCATATTCTGTTTTTATTTTTATGGTTTTGATAGTGTTTCTTTAGTCGCTATTAAATAGATCAAATCAATTAAAACTAGGGGCATTTGTCGATATCAAGAGCTGAGCGACATCCTCTTCCATACTGCATGACCCTGATTAGATTCATTTTTCAGTAAGGTAACATGAATGTAACTGATAGCATAAACACTGAATTTACCATATCCGTTTAATACGGTCAGTATGTTTTCGGTCGGTGCATCCCTGACATAAAGAATACCATTGTAGTCACTAAGTTCTGGTTTCACGGGTGCATTTAAGCAAAGAGCAGTAAGGGGATCATACATTAAGGCTTGATTATCCAAACCACTCTATTTTGAAATCTGCATGAGAAGGTACAGTAAGTCCTGTGAGTGAAAATGATGAACCAGGACTGTCTTCTGTAGCCTGTGATGGGTGTCTACAGTGGAGAGTTTGGGTAATTATTTCACAGTCTGTCTTTGTTTTCTCTTAAAGTAAGTTTTGTCAACCTGTTGGTTTGTTTAAAACATGTCCGACACCCTGGAGGACTTTTCAGAGTCACCACATTCACAAGATCTCAGCAAATAATCTGATGTTATGTCTTTATGACTGATGAAGATGTCTTTACATCCTCTGACACTTGATTCGCTGAAGACTTGACCTGCTTTTGAACTTGTGTTTTTGTCATGAAGACTCCTCTTCAACTTGTCCCTAAAGACTTAAAGAGTTAAAGACTGCCCTGAAATGAAAACTCAGTCAGCAGTAGTGGAAGAAGTAAATAGTAAAAATACTCTGTTACAAGTTAAAGTATTAGCAGCAGTTGTACTCATTATGTAAAATGGCTCCATTTAAAGTGTTGGATTTTAACGACTGTATAAACTGTATATTTTATGTTTAAATCTTGATCTGAAAAGTAACTACAGCTATCAGACAAATGTAGTGGAGTAAAAAGTACAAGATGGATTAGAAGTGTAGAGTAGCCTAAAATGGAAACACTCAAGTAAAGTACAAGTACCTTAATTTGTACTTGTCAGATGCTGAGCGTGTAAAAAAACATTCAAGAAAAAGTTTTGAATACTGTGAAGTTGGACGTGTCAGAACCCGCTGTGTTCCTGAATTGAAATACAGCGGAGGTTTATTTATTTTCCCCACAGTTATTACGATGTTACATACTTCTATAGATACCACACATGCCACATGTCGTGCAGTAATAGTTACTGTACAACACGAAACAACCCTGCAGCTGTTGCTCTTTGTGTGTTTTAATGGTACGGCTCCTGTTTGTACAGGACTGTGTCTACATGTTGTGTTCTGTCTGCTGATACTGCACCTATCAGACCTTTTATAATGAAAAGTGTTCTTCATTTAATTATGATGTGTGATGGACGGTTGCATTTTTCCAATTTTCTCCAAATTACACCGATTAGCTCGGGAGGAAAAAATGTTCTCAAGACAGCCTTTTGAAACATAATTTAGTAAAAGGCAATAAAGGATTGGCATCTCGGACTGATTACAATTAAATGGTCAATAATAAAGCCCAACCTTTAAAAATACAATAGAAATCCATAAATACTATACCACTGTCTTTGAATTTTTGCAAAGTGTGGAGGTTGCACCTTGTTGCTGCTTGGTTCAGGTGTTCCCTGCAGAGTTTACTTGTTTGTTGGACTCTAATGTTTAACAGCTCAAAAACACATTAAATAGTTTTATGTCCTTGATACTTTTCCTAATTTTGTTTAAAAAATGGCATCTTAGCATGATTTTTAGCTGATGGTGTTTCAGCACGCTACATAAATGGTACATTACTTCTGTTTGGTGTCTCAGAGAACATTCAAAAGACAAAAATGGTTGATTTTCGACTATTCCTGTTATCTTAAAACATACAGTGCAGCAGTGGGATCTGTGGGACACCAAACAATGATGGAGTGAAGCCAATGTCAACGCAACACAGATGTTAACCCTAATTAAGAGCCTTGAAAGCCTCATGTAGCCGTGTATCATGTCCAATACCTGCTCCTCAACTCCATATAATCAGCATTCTTCCACACTTTCTCAATTTCTGCCCAAATCTTGGTTTTTATCAGCAATTCAAAAGTGAAACAAAACGGCAATTCAGTCAAACTATCAGGCTACCAGACAGTATCATATTAGAAGTGTGATGGATCCGTGACGGTCTTTGGTTCTGTTTTACATGTTCCTGATTACTGTGTGTGTGTCCTGCAGGAGCTGTGCCAGTGTCGTCCATCTGATGGGAACTGTTCCTGCTGTAAAGAGTGCATGTTGTGTCTGGGGAACCTTTGGGAGGAGTGCTGCGACTGCGTGGGTGAGTTCTGCGCCTCCATTTATGAGCAACACATTTTAGAGCCGACAGCGGCAAAGTTAAGTCAGCATTTCATTTTGGACTTTTCTGTGTAGCCCGCGCTCCGTGATGACTGTTGAGAGCTCAGTGCCAGCAAAGATTTGCATTTGAGATGCATCAATGACTCATCTGTCGGCTTTGTTTTTGGAAGGTTGAGGCACAATTGAATGTAAAACCGCAGGAGTGAAATTTTATTTTAATTTAAGGTAATGCGCGAAACTCTGACTTCAGATTTAGTTTCCTTCCTCATCCTTCATGTAGGATTTTATCATCTGGTGCTGCTGCTGCTGTGTTCACCTGCCACTGAGGCCAGATCAAGACTTTCTTTTTCCATCATATCTCCCATTAAAATAGTAGCTGCTGACAAGGACTCAAATATTTCTTTATAAATTGCAGTCTGAATAAAAGAATAACTTATAAGAGTTTTAAGATGTTATTTTCAAGTTCAAAGTTTTCTATTTAAATTAATTTCAAAAGTTAATTTAATCAACAGCATCATTTTTAGAGTTGTTGACTGATCTTTTATTGTCATCTTCTCATCATATTGTGTTCATGTCATAACTGGTTTCATAACCTCCAGTTGATAGATTTGATTTAGTTGTGCATGTATATTTATATAAAAGTTAATGGTAACACTTTACTTTAATAAACACCCAATAATTATTTATGAGCCGTATATAAACATTTTAATCAATGGATTATAACCCCCTATAACTTAAGCAGATTTAATTACATTTTTAGATGTTTATCAATGTACAATGTTTGTTAATTACCTTCTCCTTTGAAGACTCATTTTGTATTATTACACCTGTGTTTTACTAGTCTTACGTTATCTGTTTATCCACAGGCGTAAACATGCAGGTCTGAACAGTGAAGTAGTGCAGAAGTGCCTTAAACCTGCATTCTTTCTCAGGGGGCGACTCCTCTGGTTACAAAAATAAGTCCGATTGTATAGAAGTCAATGAGAAAATGACTCAACTTCACACTTGATTTCTCAGTAAACATTGTGAGCATGAGTTTATGGTCTCAATGGCAAGTTTCAAGTCTTCTTCTATACAGCACGTCCCATTTAGAGTAAAATAGATGATAAAGCCAATAAGGCTACCTTGTGATTGACAGGTGGCTACCACGGTGTCCGTGTCTTTGTCTTACGTCTTTAACCCTCTCACAGTGTGTTTCCAGTCCATGAAAGTTAACTGTAACATTGTTGGTTGCCTAAAAGTCTTGTTCAGCGTTCGGTTGTACTTAACTCCAGCCTCTCATGTCACTTCTGGTTTTTCAAAAAGCCAAGATGGCGACAACCAAAATGCCGAACTCAAGGCTCCAAAAGTGTAGCCCACAAACCAAAGAGTGACCTCACGATGACTACGTCCACTTCTTATATACAGTCTATGTTTATACAGCAGCCTCCGCTTGTGGATGCCCACAGGACGAGTTATACTTATACTCTTATATTTACTTACACCTATATTTTAGTATTCTATAAACCGTCTATTCGATTCTTACATACTGCTTATGAATGCTAAATTGAGGGTTAAAGTAAAGTTACCAAATGATTTAATGTACGAAATGAACATACAACCAATTTATGAAATATGCATGTGGTAGAGTCATTGCAGCTCTCACACATCAGTCATGTAACTGTGATGTGGACATTATTTACAGAAGCAGTATACACAGTGAAATTAGACTGGTTAGGTTTAAACAACAAGCAAGTGTGTCGTGTGAAACATGTGAAAAGAAGAAGTTAGTACAGTTAAGAGAAAGTGATAATACAGTAAACTATGAACCCATAGTTGATCATAACGTGATTGCAACATATGTGTTGCAATCTCACATGTGACACTCGTCTCAGTCACCCTGTCGCCGAGCACTTTCTCCCGGTAAAAAGCCTGTGAAAAATTAGCTTGTGGCTGAAATGCACTTAACAGTTGAGAAGCGTGCTGGTTTAGAAAGGAACCGGTTTGTTCTGAGTGTTGCTGCTCCGATACGAGAAGAGTGTGAGGAGAGTGAAGCCAGATACCGAAGGTGCCTCTGAGAGGTGACAACGTGGAGGTTAATGCAAAGCAGAGCCGGAGAAGGACCACCAACGCTCGCGAGAGCGTAGGAAATTAAAGGAGCATTGTCACTGCTAAGTAGCACCTACACATGTGGACAGGAAGTCTCGAGGTCCTCCAGAAGATCAAAGGATGGAGAAGCCGGAAGAGAGGGGGGACGAGGAGGTCGACCCGCTCAAATGAACTTTGACTTTCAGCCTCCCGGCGACGATGTGCGGTGGGGGTATAAATCCCTGCGAAATCCAAAACAACCGGATTTGTGAAAGAAGAAATCATTCAGTTTGTTAACTCCTCTCTTCATCTGTAACCTGCTTCAAAACCAGCAGGGGCGGGACACTTGTGGATAGGAGGGGGAGCAGACTGGGGCTCAGATTCAAAGAATGGGGGCGCTTTTATAAAATAGGTAAAAAATGTGTGTCGGACTCAAATTTAAAGACTTGGTTCTCGGACACAGACATGGACAAGGCCCCCAACACAAGCTTTATTGGAACAAGAGACACAGACTGGCTTGTTTTGTGTCTCTTTGTGGTCGGTTTGAATCTCTATGTGGTTGTTTTGTGTCTCTTTTTAGTCATTTGTTGCTTCACTTCATAGTGTTTTTGTTTCTCTTTATGGTTAGTTTTGCATCTCTGTTGTCAATTTGCTTCTCCTTGTAGTCATTTTTTTTTTAAATCTACAAGACATTTTGTGTCTTGTTTTGTGTCTCTGTGGTCATTCTGCATGTCTTTGTTGTCGCTCTGCATCTTTTTGCATGTTGTTTTGTGTCCCGTTCTGCCATTTTGAGCGTTGTTTTGTGCATCTTTCTGGTCATTTTTTACATTTCCTTTTGTAGTCGTTTGCATCTCTTTGCAGTTGTTTGATTTACTTTAAAGCAGGCCTGTTTCATACAGAGGTTCCATGATTGCTGTGCATGACAGCGGGATGCGGATCACAAATCAAACCAAGTCCATCTTGTCAGGCTCGAGTAATGCGTTTGCATTCGGTAAGCCAGAGCACGGACCAATCAGCGTCCTGAGAGGAGCTGCTGGCAGCTACAGGCGTAGCTTAGGTGTGACCCTGGGACCCTGGACCTGTAGCCAGTAGGCCAACTACCTATCACCGTCTGACTCTGGTAGGGTGGTCACAAAGGGGGGCCTAGGCCACCCTTGTCTACCTCTCTGGCCCCTGTAAACCAGCAGGCTCTCAGATCAGCTTTGACGGACAGATATTACTGTACGTGCTGACAAGGGGGCTTTATTAAAACTCTTTCATGTGGAACACAAATACAAGGATCTGACTGAGCGTTGAACTTGCTGCTGCACAGATGTTACGGTGGTGGAGTTGTCTTTACTGAACAGGCCTTCTGCACACTGAAGACAGCCTGTAGCTTTAAGCTAGGATATATTTCTCATTTATATGCTTTTATTTTTTTCTCACAGCGCTAGCCTTATGACCACTTTTAGTAAGTTTCCACTCTAAACATGTTATCTGTGCCAAACACTGGCTACTTTGAAGTGTGTATCTGCGAGTGGTTAGAGCAGCCCAGTAGAGGAGCGGCGGGGAGAGGACAGTTTGTATTTTAGAGGAAGGGAGGAGGAGGGAGTGAGGACATGAAGGGAGGACCCATGTGTAAGCTTTATCTAAAACAGCTGTTCTGGCTCTGCTTTTAGCATCGGTTTGTAATCCAATTCTACTGTCAAACTCGGTTCCCCATTAAATGATTTACCCATTAGCTGTAATTCACTTTGACTCATTTGAAGGCTTAGGAAGATCATATCAGAGGATGTGGGGACTTTGTGAAATGATTACTACTGTATTTGGAAATTAAATGAAGTGTTAAAAGGATCTTAATTGAGACAAGACCGTCTTGACAGCTGTGTGGTTTTACAAAACTGCCCCTGTGAGTTGAAATCATGTGTGAAACCATTTAACCATGAAACCATGCCAATACGCTTCAAGGGTCAGCTCACCCAAATCACAAAACACAAACAAAAACCTTTGTGGAATCTAGACATGGAGATAGTTTTGGTTTTATTTACCCAGATTTTAAGATCTCCTCCTAAGATTTCTGTCTCCACCAGAGTCATGGCTGTAGCTAGCACTGAGGACATGAGGTCATGTCCTCAGTGCTAATACATCTGTGAAGTTAAGGAGTATGATGACATGAAGAAGTGTTGATGTTCGATAATGACACACATATTAAACATGTCAGGTTTTTTAAGGCTGATTTAAAAAAAAAAATAAACTCGACATTAGATTAATCGTCACTTATTTTGGTAATATTGAACTAAAATTCCGTATTTTCCACTAGAATTGCATACCTGGTAGTGTAGAGAAGGCTTTGAAACAACGTTTAGAATATACAGTATATGAACAAAGTCAGTTTTGAGATTTTGGGCTATTTTGCTTCCATAGTCTTCTTTCAGACTAGTGGAAAGAAAACATCCAAAATACACATTTAGGTGCTTATTTTACTGCTTTTTCTGTTTGTGTCTGTAGATTTCTCCTAAATTCACCAAGAGTTACCATTAGATCAGATTACAATCAGAGTAACAGGGACAATATCTCTGGTAATAAATAAAAAGATACCATGACCACCACAAACTATTCCATTCACCTGAATAGAGACACAACAGTTTCCATGAACTGACCTCTAATGTCTTCATCCGTCTTTTCATATGTCAGGGATGTGTAACCCCAAGAACTACAGCGACACTCCGGCCACGTCAAAGAGCACCGTGGAGGAGCTGCACCGTCCCATCCCCTCGCTGTTCCGCGCCCTCACAGAGGGCGACGCACCGATCAACATGATGGTGGTGTCCTTCCCCGTCGCCGAGGAGCTCTCCCATCACGAGAACCTGGTGTCCTTCTTGGAGTCGCTCGACAGCCAGCCTCAGAACGTCTCCTTGCCGAGCAACAGTATCCACGCCAGCTACGACACACAAGGTAACGCTTGAGCTGTGAAGGATTATTTTAGCTCGCAGAAATCTATATTTTATCCATAGTGATCCATATATTGAAGTTTTACAGTGTAAAATAAGAACGAAAAGGTGTGGATGTCCCCAAAATAGACATGTGACCTGCGGCTGAATGTAGTTACTCAAGTATTGTACATTACTTACCGTAAATATTATTATGAGGTACTTGGAAAAATTGTATTTCCATTTTATGCTTTTTTTATACCTCTCTTCAGAAGGAAATATTGTACTTTTTACTCCACTTATTTGACAGCTATAGTTAATAATTACTTTGCTGATTGTGTTTTGACATATAAAACATATGATGAGCTTATTAAATATGAAAGGAGTTGTATTAGCTGGACTGGTTTGAAGCTCCAATAGAGACCTTGCATCTAACATTACTCATGAAGTTTTGAAATAAGTTACACTACATGATGAAAAAGTCAGCTTTACTCACATGCACATTGCTATTACATACTTTTCTAGTCCTGTCATGTAGTTAAATCTTTTACTTGCATTTATGCCCACTCACTAAGAGTGGTAATAAAAGTAGGTCCTGCCCAGAGCTGAAGCAGACTACAAAGTCTTGAACTGAGACTGGTTTTAGTTGGGTCGGGTTTTCATCAATTCAGGGGGACATGACTGCCAAAAGACCTCTAGTTTAGGTAATTGTAACTGTGTTAAAAGTGTTATTCCTGTGCCATTTTTTTATTATTTTCATTTGTGGGTGTTTTGGCTGTCTGCCTGTGAGCCAGTACTATTTGCTGTAAAGACACACTCATAATGGGAGTGTTCCCACAGAGCCGAGCAGTTAACTCATTAAGCTCACAATACATATGGTGATACTTAGGTGCAGCAAATTAATTTCCCCCCGAAGTTAAATTAGTAACATTGATGGTTAAAGGTACTTACTTTAAAATGCTGCTTGTTTTTATAAACCACGTTTTACTGGGTTTGTGACTCACATTTTTTTTTTCTTTCCCTTCCTTTTGAAAACATTTTTATTTCAGAAAACATGTGCACGGTGGTCTACTTTGACGACTGCGTGTCTATCCGTCAGTGTAAACTATACTGTGAGTCAATGGGAGGATCCAAGTACCGCTGGTTTCACAACGCCTGCTGCCAGTGCATCGGACCCGAGTGTGTAGACTACGGCAGCAAGGCTGTGAAGTGCATGAACTGTCTCTTCTGAATTGTGGGCACATATTGGTACCAAATGTCTGGGCCATACCAGAGGACTGAGGGCAGAGGAAACTATGACTGTTATGTGTTAGCATTCCTCAGTTACCTTGTAAAATACCCCCTACACCCCTCCTCCTACTCCAGCAAATTGTTTTTATTCTGCTGTTATGTTTCACTGTATATTTTTAGATATGTTTTCAATAGTGTTTTTTACTAGAGGTGTATATGAATAACGTATTTTTACAATTATGGTCTGCTAAATCCCAGTCGCATGCCAAATAAAGAAATGTTTGGTGACAAGGACTGTGTTGTCTCACAGAAAGGTGTCTGATCTTAAAATATGTTTTTTTCTTTCTCTAAATATTTTCTTAAAATGATGTGTAAAAAAGTGCATGAGTGGAATAGTAAATGTTTGTTCTCCCTGCTGCGCGTCTCCTGCTCTAATCTTAGCCTAGTGTTGCCTGAGTCAGGAAACGCATAACTTCCTGGGGAAACAAAGTTGTTGTTATACCCTTCTGTTCCACAGGTGTTCCACTGCTCAATGACCGTCTCATGCAAGCGGAGGGGAAAGGGAACATTTACCGATGCCAATCTCTCACCGCCACACACAAGTGCTCTTTGTAATGCCAGTGCGTTTTCAAAAGGGCAGCAGGGGGGCCTATCACTGATTCTGTTCCCAATTGGCATGCAACAGCAGTTTGCACTGACTAATGTACCGGATGCACAATGAGACCTTGTTTGTCTTTTCTTTTTCTTTTTTATGATATTGAATCACGACCTCATTTCGCAATTGCAGCTGTGGATTTGGAGCCGATGGTGCCAACAAAGATCAGAGGCCTAATGTGTTTCATGTGTCAGGATGACCACGAGTCTTCTTAGTGCAACCGCAGCATTTGGCAAAGTCCACATGATTCAGAATAGCAAATGGTTTCACTAAATGTACATGCTTTTCAACACATTGTTTGACAGTTTATCGTGTACACATGCTTGTATTACAGCAAACTTGTGGTTAAGGTCAGAATGAGACCACAGCCTAAACATTCTACATTAAATCCAGATCATTCTGGGCCAAGAAACCTACATAGACTATACATTTGCGGCGGGAGAGCCAAGTGATTTATAGATTCGCCTTCAAACTACATTTCCCACCATACAACTGGGCTGCCGCGCAAGCGCAGATAGGTTTATTTAGTATACAGACAACCGGAAGCTCCACTCCGAAATTGACCGAACGGGATAGTTCTTGGTAAAGTTTTTTTGTGTTTTGTGTGTTCAATGACAGTACAGCGTCTACAAAATATACTCCATTACATGTAGCTATCTGTTTATATAATGTTGGGTCTATCTGGACGAAACAACGGCTTTAATCGTGACGGTTAGGCTAATCAGCTAGCTTAGCAGGTTGGCAGCTAGCGGAACTACCGTTAGCATATGGGCCCCTCCATTCTGAGGAGAGCTGCTACTTTATCACTGTTTCTTTTAATGTAAACGTGCTTTAATTCATTACTGGAGAAACTAGGAGGAGTATTCTAATATCAAGTTGTTATGTGACTAGTTGTGTGTTTGATTAACCTTTCTCTGGAGAACAAGACAGGGTAAGCAAATAGTATAATCTGCCCTCAGCGAAGGAAGGTTAAGACAGACAGGCAGTATTTATAGTTCAATTAAGACAGTGTTAGTGTACGCATTGCTGTTGTCTTCAATAATTAACACATTTTTCTTCGTGGCAGTGCAGCATACTTTCTTGGATGCCCCATACTAAACACTTGACATACATTTAAGTTGTTTCTAGTATCAATATGTAACAGGAGATCTTCAGCCTGCTGTCAGTGTTAGAAACCTGTTACAGTGATTCGTTGGGTACTTTGAAGCTCTCAAACGCACAGCACCCTTGTCGTTATTACGTAATTAGTCTACTTCCTAACACTCGTACAAGTGTTCCCTTTAGTCCTTTAATCTAAAATAAACTGCAGACAGCCATACTGGCATACTGTTTCAAATAACTGTATAAACATTCAGCTGAACAAATATAACTGTGTTTCTGGTAAAGCACCGTTTCTAAACATGATGAAGTGGACGTGGAGTTTTGATTTAGCTGACTGTGGATGTCAGAATTGGCTAAATTAGAAGTAGGAAGTGCAAGAGGTGATTGTCCATGTAGCAGAGCCCCATCTGGTGGGTGGACACTACTGTTACAGTTGTTCTGTTTGTACATTCATTACAATATTCAGGAAAGAAGAAGGGAAGAGCTACATCTAGTTTTATTGTGATTCTAACTTTATGAGTACAACATGCTTTAGTTTGATTTACAGATTAATATATCTGTTACAGGTTTTGAATATTAGTCTAAATGGAAAAATACATATTTTACATACGCTATCACAGCTTGTCTGAGGAAGTAATAATTCATATTTATGTTTAAACTGTGTTCTGCTCTTGGCCTAACATGGTTTCTAACTTTGTGTTGAAAATGTCCTTTTTAGCAGAGCTATGAATTTTGATTTTGATTTTTTGGTGCACATACTGCTGAGACAATGATTTATTGAATTTGATGAACTCATTTTGATTGATTCTTTTGCAGGAATGTCCATCTGAGCACAGCGGTAAAAATGTATAGAGAGAAAACATACATTGCAAAAAAGACGATTGTAGCATATACAGTATTTAAGCTGCATCAAAAGCAATCGCAGACGTCTCTAAATAGGTTAAAAGCATTAAATGGAATGAGACACATTCCTTTAGTAATTCCAAACATTGATTGTAAAGCAGCTTTTTTCAAGTGCAGTTCATTTATATTTCCTTGTTCAAATATAATCAAAAAGTCAACACAGAAATACAATTCAAATCCATGAAAATCTGACAGGCCTGGCCCCCATCTGTCACACAACTAAGAAGTGAATAACGTAGATAACAAGCAGCAGGAATAAATAAAGAATCTGTCTGCAGACTTTACAAAACTTGAGATAATCTGTGAAGTTGAATGCAGGGTTGTACTGTTTTCATCTTGTATTTCTTCCCCCTGCAGGTGTGATGGAGAGGTGATGTGTCAGTGGGAGGAGTGATAAGGCCAGAGCAGTCATGACCGAGTGCTTCCTGCCCCCCAGCAGCAGCCCTGCAGAGCAGCGTCGGGCTGAACACCCAGGGGGCGTGGCCCGCACCCCCAGCTCTGAGGAGATCAGTCCCACCAAGTTCCCCGGATTGTACCGCACCGGCGAGCCATCGCCGCCTCATGACGGCCATCACCACGAGACACCTGACGCCTACGTCTCAGACGACGACAAAGAGCACGGCAAGAAAAAGAACAAGTTCAAGAAGAAGGAGAAAAGGAGTAAGAAGCTACCTTGTAGTGATTTTTTGACTTTAGAAATAGTTTGAAAGAGCTCAGGGTCACTTTTGAGGATCTTTGAGCCGTTTTCCAGATGTTGTCAAGGCTACGAGAATTGGCTGAAAGCTCTGGAAATGTATCATTAAGTTCAGACTAATCCTAATATTTCTGCTACATGTTTAGGAGTACAACAAAACAATATTCATAATAATGAGAATACTTTAAGGTGTTGAATTGTATTATAGGCAATGTTGAAAATGGCAACAATTTACTGGTAAATCCCAT